TCCAACAACATTGCTCTCTCACTCTCTCTCCTCCTCTGCTCCCCCACTCTCGTTCCCGTCAGTCAATCTTGCAGCCGTTATCAGCGCTGGCCTGGCAGATTTAACGCAGGAGGATGGAAACATCTGGATCTTATTTAGTAAAATCATCCTTCTCTGTTTCTCACTGCCCTGCTGGCACACTCATAAAACTGTCAGAGCAGAGAGCCCAGCCGCTGCACCTCCAAACATTACATCAGTGCTGGTTTTTCCCCGCAGAGCAGAAGTTTCATCACTCATTTTTTTACAGAAATATTTATTTTTATTTTTATACTCATGAAAAAGCACGGTTGCGATCACTCAAATAGCTTATGGGAAGTGATTGGTTTGACTCTTGGTTTATACCTGGTGTAAATATACACTGACAGGCTTATACCGGCTTATAAATGGATCAGTCTGAGTAAACTCATATCCACAGAAATGCTCCATGACGTTTCACAGGTGGATCAGGTGTCAAAACTGTTAATTGACCACAATGACAAGTTGTTGGAAACTGTTTTGGGATATTTTGTGAGTAAGGATTGTGTTGGCTTTCTGTAAATGGTGCCGTCTAGGTCGGGATATCCACTGGGGCGGGATGTGAACCCTCTCCGGCTTTGGGAGGCTGATGGACCAGAGAGTTTTCCCAACACTAACACTGGAATTCTTCACATTCCGTCTTCGTTAGTGGCCTAATCTATCAAAGAGAGAGAGCGAGAAAGAGAGGGTTTTAGTGGGGGTCTCTACATACTCGACTACACCTCCACCTGACCTTGGGCTGATTCCCCTCATTCTCTCCATCCTTTGCTGCCTTGCCTTGCTTTCTTTGTGTAATTCATATATCTGTACCTGTTGTTGAAACTTGCACTTCAGTGATTGCATACATTCTTCATTTACATTTATGCATTTAGCGGGCACTTTATCCAAAGCAGCTGAGGAACAAAAAAGAGAAACAAAACCACTTTGTCATTTCAATATCAAGATTTTAGGTTATAATTGTATGATTGTATAAGGAAAAGTGTATATGTATATATTATGTGGTGTATCTGGTTTTTATGTTTTCAATCTTCATTCTGCAATCATCTCCTCAGTCTTCATTTAAATAGTCCTGCAGTGTGACAAATCAGGACTCAAAAATACATGTTATTTTTTCTGCAGATCTTGAGGGGGAAAATGCTCTATCTATCTATCTGCATTACTATTTATTTTTTATTTAATGTTTGTTTTTATTATTTTATTATTTGTATTATTAATTGCTTATATTACAAAATATTAAGGATGGACATTCCAAGCAAAAATAATATTCGAAAATCACAGGCTATTATTCGATTATTATTCAAAAATCGCACCCTCCCCCGCATGCACGTACAAACACCCATAAACTGAGAGAGAGGGGAGAGAGACGGGATTCACACTTTCAATCTCTGGGCTCTACAGTGCGACCATTTCAGTCGCATTTGTGACTGAAAACTACTGCGTGCGACTGAACATTTTTTTAGGAGCACCAGTGCAACTGACCCCATCGTCATCATACTTGTGATTGCGCTCAGGGGAGCTTCAAAGATTTCTACGTGTTTTTGCAGCGTGGAGTAATGTAGCCTATCACAGACATATCTCACGAATCCTTTCATAAGCAAAGTGTAGACAGGGTGTAAATAAGAGATTCATTGCGCAGTGTAGAGAGCTTCGTTGATTATAAATGTGAGATCGCGATGAACTAAGATGAGTGACAGCTTTTAATGATTTTTAAGGGAGTTTGTAAATGTGATACTGATTTAATACAATACAATTCAATAAACAAGACAGAAAATAGTCGAAAAAGCCACTTTTGTGTTCTTCTGTGCCACCTCTACAAATTAATTTTCTTAATACTGAATGCACAAGTGCTCCTAAAAAGAAAAGTAAGCGTAGAGCCCTGAATCTGTATGATAAACTGTTTAATTCAGAAGATAGGCTATCTTAACTCAAGCCATATAGCCTAATGATTGTAACTTGCTGAAACATATTAATATAATAAACACAACCGAATGATGGCACTTATTAACATAACAGTCCGTCGATTAGCATAAATGAACTACTCATAAGGCTAGGACATTTCCATTTAAAAAAATAGAACCCCGAAAGGGAACAGATACGAGATGGGAGGAAAAATATACTTCAATATCTTCTGTCGCAATTATATCGTTGGGTAATTATACTGTATATAAAATCGCTTTTGAACGCGCGCTTGTTTTTTGCTTTCACTTTCGAGATTCGCGATCACACGTACGGAGCAGCACTCGGCAGTACTTACCACACATTTTACAAGATTGGCTACCGTTAGCAAGCGGCTAACCATGACCCTTTAGTGGCTCCGTAGAGTGCGTTATTTGTTTTCCGTGCCTTTCTGAATACGGATTCAGCCATACCTCTAACCCAGTCGGGGGTGTTTGTGGTCCGCACAGAACTCTTAATTGACATCGTCCCAAGTTACTGTAACCGTTATATGCTACGCAAGTCTTTTTTTTTATGCCACGCAAGTCAACAGTGTGCGCGTGAGACAATGTGTTCTTCTGTTGTCTTTGACAGTTTTTAGGTGCGTTATTGGCAGCGCCACCCTCTGCTTACATAAACGCGTCACCACCGCATCAGCACGGAAAACATGTGGAAATTTTTTAAGACAATAATCGCACAACCTATCCGATATTCTATAATTAAATCAACTAATCGAATATTCGAAAACCGTGACCCATCCCTACAAAATATACAGCATTTTATTTACATTTACACCTAAGTAAAATAATAAAGTTTTATTTGTATTTTCAGTTTTT